CCAGTTTAATAACTCTATTTAACACTTTTACCTAGACCTGCATTTAGTTCCATTTTGGACATGTCTTTGTTATTAGTTGTGTTCAGAAATATTAGCACTTTATTAGTTACAATGTCAAGGGGACATTTAATGAGAAACCCCATCTGAGATTGACCTTTCACTGCATTGCAGACCTCAATTATGAGACTGCAATGTAGAGTTATTACATAAGACGTGAGAATTAGGGCTTTGGGCTTTGCTTTATGTGAATTTGGAAATTGCAGGCAAAGGGACAAAAGCAACATTCAGTAAAGTAGAACTGGTGGGGAAGATCCGTTTGTAGCTAAGTTCATAGGGTTTTGTTTATGTTCTTTCTCTGTCAATCAGAATGGTAGGGAAGCAAAATCAGAACAAGTATATATAAGTTATGGATTTTCCAGTGCTGCAATCTGCAATGTACATGGCAACCCTTTTATTTGGAATGCCCAATTACATTACCTGTTACCCGTTGATAGTAGAAGAAAAAATATACCGTCTGACCCCATTCAATTTCAAAGGATTGAGATTAGTTAGTATATGTTTGGGTGAGCATTTGAAATCTTGAATTTGAATGAATTTAATTTTGTAGAATTTTGTTTAAATATGAATTTAGAGTGACATTATGTTTAAAAATAAGTTTATAGTAAAATTTAATATAATTTTTTTAACTTACTGCGAAAACATGTACTAAAAACTATAAGTTCTTGTACCAAAAATAAAAAGAAAATTTAAGGTAAGGTTAAAATAGGTGAAAATAAAAGCCTGTGATGTCCCAGCAGGGGAAAAAAATCAGCATGGTAGAACATCCCATAAAAAGTGAATGTTTTTTGGATTGATCATCAGAGGTTTGATGAATCAGGAGTGGTTAAAAACCTTGCAGAGGAGTAAATTCAATGGTCAAAAGTCAAAACTATCAGCAAACGGTCTAACATTTAAATAGCTTAAATAATTACCGTTTCTGTCACCAGCTAACAGTCTTGCAGTAGTATGGGTATGAATTCCATTTTGAATATTTGGGCTATTAAATTGTTCATATTATACGTTACCCTACATAATAAGTTAACCTATATTTGGCATTAAAGACACAGAAACCCACATTTGGGTATGTCTAACATGATTTTGAGGGAAAAAATATACTGGGTTGTTTTCAACAAAAATCAAGTTTGCTTCTAAAAAAAAATAATACAACTATTGTTTTAGATTAATAATTTTATATTAAGATTTATCATAAATATAATTTTGAGATAATGCTTTTTCAAATATAAATTACTTTGATTATCAACAAACACTTAAATCAATTGACAGAAACTTAACTAAGAGTATTGAATCGAATCCGTGAAAATTTAGCTATTTTGTATCATTATGTTTTATAAATTAAAGAAAAATGGGAAGTAAAAAGGAAAGAAGTGAGGTGATCAACTAGGTAATATGATGGAGAGAGGCAAAAACTATAAAAGTATTATAAAAATTTGTTATGAAAATATTTTAACTCTAAAAATTCATAGAAATCACTTTGTAACTTACGGTGGTCCTATCTAAGTTTACTTGAATTAGTCACCCACTGTCCTAGATAAATAAATAAAAAATATTAATTATTTTTTAAGTATGTTTTTTGTATGTACATTTTTGTAAATATTTGATTTTAATAATGTTATTGTATTTTACATTGTATTTTCTAAATTTATTATTTTTAATTCTTGATAATGGTTAAATGAGATGACATAATCTACTAAAAGGCTATTTCATGTTAATTTTTCGTGAAATCATGCTACAATGAAAGAGACCAAACAAAATTATTGCAAAAACATATGAACCAAAATTTTAAAAAATAGAGTAATTAAAACAAAAAAATATAAATATAAAAATAAAAATAAAAAATATATTTAAGCCTAAAATACTTTACTCCAAACCCATTCTTCTGAAAATTACTTTTGAAAAATCAAGATCAACCAAAATCAAATTTACAAATACTCATACAAATATATAAATTACTATTTATTTTATTTGTGGTAAAGTAATATTAGTAGTTTGATGCATCATGTAAGCAATATATATACAGATATCTAGCATGATACTATGTTTAGGGTTTAGGGTTTATCTAAAATTATAGATTTCCTTCCTTCTTATGTTTGTCTCCGAACCTATCTACTTCATATTTAATCAAATAAAACAAATTCATATGATACATTCTATAATACTATCTTTTCTTTTTCTTTTTTAGATCATCTGATCGCACGGACTTTTTCTTCTTTTTCCATCTCTCTTTGTTGAATATTTTTTGTTTTATAATTTATTTGTATTCATACAATTTCTCTTTAGTAATTGACCATCAACTCTATACAGTGGAAATGGAAGACAGTAGCATTCACACCTTCCACAATCATGCGCGAATATCAGAAGCTGCAAAAAATTATCATCATGATCAAATAGGTGAAACTTGGAAATAATAAGATTCATAAATAACTGAGCACCTTCCACCAGCTTAAAACTAAACCGATGCCTGCAGTTAACTAATGACTGCAAAGAAATGTATAATAATATTTGGATTCACGTTTAGATAAACAAGATCTACAAATAATACTATATATTGATTATATGTGTTTAAATGCATAAACATTTAGTATACATGTATATGCATACATATTTAATCAAAGGATAGGAATATACCCAAAGATCAAAGTCGTAGCAGCTGCTAGCTAGCTAAGAAGCAAAGCGGAATATGGTACAAGGCAGCGAACCTGATAGTACAAATTAATGACCCAAAGAAACAATTCACGGTTCAAAATGAAACCAAAATATTTTGCAGTTTTGTATCAAGAGAATGTCAGCAGAACCTGACATCATAATTTAAGAGGGAAGAGGGTCCAAGCAGGAACAGTGGGTTCATTTTTTTGAATCCCAAGAAAACAAACTCTCATTATCCTTCCTGTCTCACCCTACCTAGAAAGGGACACATCAACCCTAATTTTACGTGCAGGTAATCATCATTTATATTCACTGCCTCTGTGCTTCATGTCTTTTATTGCATTTTTATTTACATTATTTCCTTCCCTCTCATTTTTTTCATTTCTCGTGGTCGATGCTGACACTGGTGAGGTTTTCATTATATATAGCTCCCTTCCCTCCCACATCTCATGCCACTATTCAAGCTGAGTTGAAATCCGAAACGTCCCTCAGCTCAACTTCCTCAACCATTCTTAGGGTTTTCACCATGTCCTTTTGGCTGCAGGAAAGGACCTCAATACTCTTTGTCATGGCCCCTCAAGATGAAGGTTACAAAATTCAAAAACAAATGAAAGTGTGGTAGATGATATGGCGGTATCTCTCCTGAGCTTATTCTTCTTAGGTTTTTATTTTATTTTTTAAAACTTTATGAATAATGTTCAAGTTTTCTTGACCTTGCAAGTCCAAAAATTTAATAATTTAGGTCAAGATTACTTGTAATTGTTTATAAAGATATAATATTTAATAATTTTATTAGAGTTTTTAGAAATTTAAATATTTTAAGCTATCCCTCCCAGTTGAGCTTCATAATTTATTTATCTTGTGCATGTAAATGTCTTTTAGACAATAAATGTATTTTCTGTTTTAGATCTTGAATCAGTGAAGTTATGTATCTTGTATTAACTTTGACTTATGATCTCCTAATCCGTTATCTTATTTAAGTTTTTCCTCAATTCTATTGGAGAATGTAATGTACGCCAGAAGAGGAATATATTACCACCGTTCATTTAAGTTTTTCCTCAATTCTACTGGGGAATGTAATGTACGCCGGAAGAGGAATATATTACCACCGTTCATCGAACTACCCGATCGGTTCTTGTTAACAGCTACCAATCGTGGGAAAGGAGATTTTGATTAAAATGAAATAAAAAAAATAGCAAAAGAAGGATAATTTCTTCTATTAAAAAAATATTACCTTTTTTTTTCCAAAAAAATATAGTAGCTAAAGGAGAAATTAATAGTCAATCAATTTACAGTTTAATAGTCGCGGGCCTAATTTTAAACCTCTGGTGATACCGATTATTATCTTATATATATAATAAATATATTTTTACAATTTTACTCGCTTACTTTTAGAAAAAAGTCATTCTATAAGAAACTTATTCAAGAATAATAAGTCCAAAATTTTAGCATATGCAAATTGTAAATCAGACAATTACACAGACTTATTCAAAAAAAGCGTGCCCAAGGATAAGAATAGTGAATGTCACACTTAATTTCACTTAACAATTATATATTAATTTCGTTCTTCGAAATCATTTATATTATATGTAAGTTTTAAGTAAAGATTACTAGTGTTAATATAACTAAGAACTAGCTTATTTTTGTTGAATCAGAGATCGATTGTGAAAGAGCCCTTGCAGATCTCAGGTGTCTAGGAATTAGTTGAACAATATCCTTCTAAGAAGAATAAAAATAAAATAAATAGTCCTTGGAGGGAATTGTATAAATGTAAATGATCTCTCCAATTACTTGGTAATGAGCAACGAATCCGTGTAAAATATGAAATCACGACAGTGGTATTTGAACTCATCCATGTAAGATATGAATTTACTGGACCAACATTCGTTGGCTCAGGATAATGTGTGAATGGAAGGAAAATAAAACATCATGAAATAATTAAGAGCCAATCAAATTTATGGAATCATGCAGCAGCGAAAGCATTTTCGAATTGTTGGTCCAGCCAGCCAAACCAAATCCTTTAAATTTTGAACTTCTATGTGATATAAAGACACAAACTCGGTTACTTGAGACAAACAACGCATAATATCGGCCTAAGATAAACCCTAGTGCTTCTATGTTAAAAGCTTCTTTGAGCTTATAAATTGTGACCCAAGAACAAAACTGGTTTATAAATTAAAACTACTTTAAACATTAATAAACTATAATTATTGTTGACTTTAAATTAAACCAATCATAAATATATCTTCAATCAAGAAGGGCCTTGTCAATTCATTTTTTATCTTTTTTTTTTTTGGGTCAATTTATGGCTTATTTTGAACCCCATAAATGGAGTATACAGAATTTTAAATAATGAATAAAAATCAATATAAAAAATTAATAAGACTTTTCTTATAAATTTAAAATGATTCATCTCCTCAAATTATAGAAAAGTTAAAAAAAAAAAAGCTTCTTAAAATTTCTTAAAAAATAAAAAAGCATAAGTTATTTATCCCTCATGAGAAAAATTTTATTATTTTATACTAATTTTTTTTTTATTTACTAACTTTTTTGAAGAGTGTACTTAAACAGAACAAAAGAGTATTTTATACATCATTCTTACTGTAGTCATCATTTCGTACGTGGCCGCTTAGCTACTGACTAGGGCAGATATGATAAGAGAATGTCAAAAGATGGATACCTTCGTGTAACAAATCTGCAGATATAAATGGTGTATGTGTGCTTGTCCTCTACGCATTTGCGTATTTAATTCCAAAAAATGCTTCTTATCCTCATGGGAGAAACATCACTTCACAACTCACATTTGGGAGTATAAATGACAAAATCATTATATAAATAAAATAAAAACTAATATAAAGACCATAATCAGATAATGAAAACTAAGCAATGTAAAATATGAATCGATATGTATCAGCAACTGGAGTATTTATTTCCTTCCAATTAAAGCACTATAATGTGATGGCAATCAAGAAGCAAAAACATCCAACGTGATGAATTACCAAAACAACCAATAATCAAAATTTCACAGAAAAAGAAATCCTTAATAAATAATCAAGTCCAATCACGCACCTATTCCCAACCAGAAGCACAAGGATAAGAAATGGCAACCGAAGGTTGAAATAAAGGAATAACAAGACATGTGACACAACGTGGGCAAATTTTGAAATGTTAACTTGATTAACCTCATACATTGAGTGCTCTCGACGGACATCAACTTTAATGTCATAACCAATTAAGGACTTCAACTTTAAAATTTATTGATTAAGAACCTTATGTTTACTTCGATAATCAATTATGGACCTGAACTTTAACACACGAAAAATAATAATATTTCTAAATTAAAAGAAAATGGTCATATACAGCCTGCATTTTGCTAATGTTATTATTATCACATGCCAACTCTGAAATTTTTGTCTTCGGAGCATTTATTTATTAATACAAATTTTTAATAAATTTGAGGTCCTTAATTGGTAAAAATTAAAGTTCAGTCCCTTAATTGGTTTATCAATAAAAGTTAAGTCCTCAACTAGTCAACTAATATTTTTTTTAAGATCCCTAAAACCTGCCTATACACTTGAAAACTGTACAATTAATAAATACAATCATAGCATGGAAAAAGATAATACCATCAACATTCTATAATTTTTCCTCATGTTCAAGCTGCAAGAACCAGCACTTTGATGGTGCCTTGACTATTTGCAGTTAGTATAGTGGGCCGATCACTCTTCCAGCATACAGCGCTGATGAAGTAAGATCCAGCCTCATCCTCGGCTTCATCCATGTCAGGGGACCCAAATCTATGACACGTCAAAGGCTTTGAGATTTCCTGAAAAGGGTGATTGAATATTCAGTTATACAAAAGGCAAATGGTGAGAAACTGTCGCATAATTAAACACCACAAACCTTGTGGTAGACAAATACTTCATTTGTTTCACTGCCACATGCAATGTATTCGCTGCTTACTGTAAGCCCAACAAAATTTTTCTCATTTGCATGGCCTCTGAAAGTTCGAACCTATACACATGAATGAAAAGAAACAAATATACATAAATATTACATAATACATATTTTATTTTGGAAACTACAAAAATATCCAATTTAAGTATTTTAAAAGGTTTTAGACAGCCTTAGTCCATTTTACATGCTTCAAAAATTTTAACAGTTTCATCCAAAAAATTGAATTCAAAACACAAATACTTATTTGGGGAGATGAGAAAATATAGAATTGGTAATATTTAGATTTTCAGCACAGAAGGCACTAACTTCTAGCAGGCAGACTGGTTAGAGTAAAATTGAGCAACAAAAGTTGACACGAGTTCACAAATTAAATGTAGAATGAAGGATAAATTTGACAATAATCAATCAAAAGCAATAAACCATTTTGCTTAGATTACTCACTGGTAAGTTTTCCTTCACATCCCATAATCGCAGTGTACTGTCCGTTGATGCAGATGCAAGTTCATCATTAGACAAAAATTTTACATATGAAACAGCCTTCCTGTGCCCACTGAAAACATGGACTGGACGGCTAGTATTTCTCAAATCATAATAATGGATGTGATGGTCTGCAGACCCAACCTGCAAAAATATGAAAAAAATATACCAGGTTAGATATATCAAAATTAAAACAGAGGCAGTCACTACTACAGAAAATGATAAAGATAATCACTGTTGATAGATTTGTATACAAGCAAACACCAGTCTAATGTTCCTAAAAGTGAAATTCCGAAATGCACCATTCAGAATACATACATGGCAGACAAGAAACTCAATGGCGGATATCACCACTCATATTAAGTACAATCAACACAAACTATTACAAAAGAACTGTTTCCTGAGAAAATATTATAATTACATAATATAAAGTATGTGCTTTAAAATGCCAAGAAATGTCACAAGTTGGCAGCTGAATAATAAAGATAATATATGGATGTGATCAAATCTAAAGTGAACAAAATCCATATATTCTCTTCTAGGTTCTAACTGAATGAAAGGTACATACTGCAATATAATTGCCAGATCCAGGATTATACTTGACACAACATATGTTTGCTTTCATGTCTATATTTAGGACACTGGCCTCCTGATTCGTGCACCAAACTTTGACCTGCTCAAAGAAAAGACAGATATTAAAGTCAGCTTAATCAACTTTCAATCATACAATTGATAGTAATTTAAAAGAATAGTAAAGATTACTATTTGATTAATTATCCACCATGCAATTTTCATGTGACAGGAAATGTAACATTATCTTTATTATACATAAATATGAATTAATAAAATAATGTATCTGATCAGATCCAGACAAATGAAAAAGTGAATATAAATGGTGTAAACTTAGAAGAAATGAGAAGACAAGGAAAATGATGCCAAGCAGTGGAGAAAGTTAACAGCAAGGGCATTGCATAAATAGTAGAAGAGTAAAAGAAGAATTCAGTTGGATTGTAAGACTTGAGGAACTGAGCAAGTGGCTCAGTTGTAAAAAGGAAAAGCCCTTCATAGAAGGGAAAAACCCTAGCAAGAAGAATTATTCCTAATAAACCATTATAGAAATGTTCTCTCTCTTTCTCTCTTTTCTATCTCTTGGTTCTCTTTCAAAGATCTTAGAACTTCGCCTTGGATCTGTAACAAGTTTGGTCCAACCTCCCAGATTTCACATTGGGGACAACATGGACCTGGGGATAGATGTGGTGGGGAAAAAAATTGGCAGATTTCTGGAGGAAGAGAACCAGCAAAGGTGAAGTACAATTACACTTTTTGGATTCAGATTCTAATGTAGCAGAGATTTGGAAGAATGTGGATGGTATATACTGAATTTGGCAATTATTGGATAAGTGGATCAAGAAAAGAGGCATCAGCCTTGATGTAAAATCAATGAAACGCTCACCCCAAAATGCCAAATTTGTGGCTGAATAAGGACAAATTTGATGCACAACAAAACATCAATTCAGAGCCCTACATTGATGAATCCAAGTCATAGATGAGTAAGACTGAATTTTCCAAAATTTGATGCTGCGATTTGAGGGATTGGATTGCCAATGTGGGGAAATTTTTAAATCTGCCAGCATCTGATCATGATATAAACAGAGATTTTAACTTGATTGAGTTAGCCAAAGTGCATATGATTTAAGAGGTGCATGCATGAAAACCTTGTGAAACATTAAGGTTAACTGGAAATCTCTATGTCCACTGCCAATCAGGGAAAATCTGTTCAAATCATAGGTGACCCAAGTGTGAGTGAGTCTAACCAAGGCAAAGGTATCTCATCTCATAAAGTTCTATAGACGGTTCCTCTTCAGTACTATTTGTTTTCTCAAAATTTGATGCTCAAACCAAACATTAGAAGCTCTTAACACAAACTAAAATGGACATTCAGACCATATCATCACCACAAGGTCACAATTACAGAAGCTGCTCAAATCCAAGACAATGATCACAGAAGAAGTTACATGCAAGGACATGGCCAATATTAGATCTCAGTTTTCCAATCTAATTGTGAGGACAAGGTTGAAGATGTATTGATGGCACCAGCAGTAAGAATGAAAAGAAAACATAGATGGTGTACACTCAGAAGAAGAGGAAGCATGGCAAATGAAGCAAAACAGAGGCAGAAAGATGATAAAACAGTTAGTGATTTTTACTTGTAAATAGCCACAAGCATTTTACAGAACAACTGCACAAAGACAAGCCGGTGAGAAGATCAGAAAACAATTACCACGCCAAAAAATTTTAGTTTGAATAATCAAAATGCAAAATATTAACATCAATAACTATGATTAAGATTATAAAACAAAAGATGTTTACCAAATAAGTCAGAAACATGTCACACATGGTTTTCATTGCAAAAATATCAGAAATTACAGACCATTCCAGGAAAACTGGCATGAAAATTTCCAAATAAATGTTCTGGAGTACCTTACAGTCATCACTACCAGATACAAGCATAGAGGGATCTGTTCTTGAAAAATCAACACTCCATGCACGCTTTTCATGCTCTTCATATTCCATTAAACTCTGCCGAAGAGAAAAAAATGATAGTCATGATTAACATAATCTGAAGAACATTTAAGCAAGCATATAACAATCAAAACAATATTAGTCAATTAAGATACCCAAACAGATGATATAAGAACAAACTGACAATTTGAATTCAACATACCTTCCGAGTGGTCACATCCCAAACAGTCACAATTCCATCATAATCACTACTAGCTATTTGGTTCTTAGCATATTTATTCCAACTCAAACAACTAAGTTTTGAACGTGTAGACATCTCAACTACAGGACAATGAGCATCTGTAGGTTCATTCACAACCTGAAAAGCAATAGCATAGAGAATGGTTATTTTTTTGTATTCATAATCTATTAGTTTAGGCAACATTTCAAGGGAAAACCCTCTAATTTTAACAGCAAATCCTCCAGCAACTGTGCCTTACAACTGTTGTTAAAAATTACAACCCCTAAAGCACTATATTATATATAGTTCTCTGGAGCGGATCTTAAATATTTGTTTTGGAATAGCCATAAAACACAATCAAATGAGCAGGATAAAATTGATGGTAAAAGTAGAAGTTAAAGAAGGTCATCCATCTTACAGCAGAAAAGTCAAAAACTTTGATGCGCCGGGAAACACCAGCAGTAGCAAACAAATCATCATCACGGTCAAACTCTATGCTGCAATATACATGATATACATGGTAAATCCATGCATTCAGAAAATATAGTATCTACAGAAAATTTAAGTGCTAAAATAAAAATATAAAGGTGATAGGACCACTCATTTCATTCATACAATTTAATCTGTATAACTCCTCCATATTAAAACAATATGAGCAAGAGAAAGTATATCAGCTATTCAGATTATAACATAAAAACCTACTTTATATTTCCACATAATCTATCACCAAAATATGAACATATGAAGAGGGAGTTTAATACCAGCAGGGGCAAGTAATTCCATACTCTGCATGGGGAAGAAAACCAAAACAATCCAATCCCAGTGCACCCAAAAAAAAATGTATAACTACTGTTGGCGGGGAAAAAGTTGTGTTATAGTTATAGCATAGATTATCATTCAAATTGAACCAAAAGATGAAATTTCAGTAAAAAAGGGAAGAAAATAAATTGATTCAAATGTTTGATATTAATGTACTTTGAACATTGACCAGTATAGACATGGCACAAGAATTTTTGAAGTCAGGAATGTCTTAAAAGGCAAAAAACTAAAAACTGTCAGCCTGGCTTAATTCTTTTTTCATTTAGATCATGAAGTTAAGAGCAAGAAAGTATCCTACAAACAAAGAGGTGCCTACAAAAAACGAGGCCATTTTCAAATTAGTTGGTAAAGAACAAAAATCCAGGGAAAGAAAAGGAAAACTGGAAGCTCATCCACCAAGCAGCCTCCTACAGTAATTCTAACATGTTCAATAAACCTATTACATATTTCTGTAAATATATGATAGTGTATGAACTCAATAATAACCCGAAAAGGGTTTACTGAATAAAAGATCGGTGATGAAGAAGAACATTGTCTTGAAATTAAATCAATAATTGCGGCAGTGATGATGGAGAACCTTAACTATTCAAGTTAATCACAGCCTTATGTATAAAATATATGCTAAAATCCCTTTGCATCCAAACCTTATCAATACATATTCAACAAAAGAAAATAAAGAAAACATTTCATCCCAACAATTAGAATAAAAATGGTCTTCAATTCTGATTATATACATTATTGTAATATTATGAAGAAAGCACAGATTACAGACTAAATTAAAAAAAGCAACCATCATTGACCCATAGTATGGCTTTATCATGAGCATACCAACCATAATGCAATATCTGACAACAGGTCAGAACAAAATCATTGACTAGTTGATTTGTTTAAGGTCATGGCTACAAAGATTAAACAATAAAAAGCAATAGATGAATATTGAGGTTGTTCGATTTCAGGGGAAAAAAAAATTCATTTTATGTTTTCACTTTTTATTATAAAAATGCCACCTCATTTTCATTTTGTTTCCCATTTTCAAATATTTGTATGGGAAATAGTGAAAACAATAAAATGTTATTTTCACTGTTCTTACATAAATATTTAAAAGTAGGAAACAAAATAAAAACAAGTTGACATTTTTGCAATTAAAAGTAAAAACAAAAAATAAAAACATACAACATTTTTTTCAAACGAAACAGTTCCCAAATGTTCTATCAGCAATTTCAACAAATAACTTACCTTGACACTATGTTGGCAGAATGAAATATATCGCCATGCCTTAGTTCTGCAATAACTCTCAATCGACTGTTTCAAATGAAGCAAAAAGGTTAGACATAACAGAGTATTGCTAACTCAAAACAATAGTAATTGACATTAATACCAGCATCTCTGTTAAGAACTCCAATGGAAATGGAGAAAAGAAAAGAAAGAATAATTTATTGACTAAAATTGAACAGAACAGGGAGAGCTCGCTCGATTCATACAATGGACCACTTGCTCGGTTCATACAAAATACAATTTCCTGAACACCTCCTTTCTACCTTATTTTCCCCTATTCATCTAATTGAACCTATCTAACTGTTCCTAAATAATTTGACTACACCCTTCATTCTTCCAGGAAACTACCCTTTAGCCCTTGTGTTCTAAAAATATTTGAATGGATATTTGACATAACAGAAAAGGACAGGCAACCACCTATAGCGTGTGAAAGTTGTCAAGACTGACTGAAAATCTTCAAGACCAGCACTATAACCTTCTCGAGTTATGAGATTTATATCTCTTTCTTGTTGGCTATGGGGCTTATCTGCTGAATGCCGTCGCTTTTGCAGGTAACATTCTTGTAGGTCATTAAACTGAAGTGAAGAAAGCCAATCAAATGGGGTTCAGATAGAAAAAGTTAAAACCACGTTTATAGATACAAATTCATAAGTTACAAAATGATGATAAAGAATACATTAAAGAAACATTAAAAACAGAACCCAGTTGTAATAAAAGTCTTGCTTTTCATAAGCAAAATGGTGTCTGCTACTCTGTTAAGTTAGGTTTTATTTAAGGCATTTTTGTTTCATGGTTATTTAGTAGTTAAAATTAGAGTGGCAGAAACTAAGCCTACAGGGGTTTTGAACTAGAGACAACAGCCTTAATATATTTAATATACTAGTTATGTAAATGTAATGGTTGACTTTAGGTCAATGAGAATTCATAACACTTTTTGTTTGTTTAAATGTAAGGTCTGTTCACTGCTCACTTGCCAGCTCCATTTTAAAGCATTACTCCTAGATCTTTGACTTTTGTCATCTAATTGTCTTTTCTGATTATCTCTAAACTTCAAAGTATCATGACTATCATCTAAATCTGTTTCCAAGCTGGACTCTACTCCAACTTATACAACTTAAAATTACTTATTTTCATATTTTTCATTGCTACTATTCAAACGATAAAGTTGACATCCAAAGGCATAGTTCATAAGAGCCCAGCATTTGTAATTGCTTACCTTCCTTTTGTATACAAGCCATCCCTAGTCAATACCTTACCCATACAGCTTTGAAATTTGGAAAAACCAAGATCTTCTACCTTTTCTCATGTCCACTAAACTCATTTTAGCCTTCACACATCCTAAATTTGTTGCTGTCTTTCTAAGTTCTGTAAAACCAAACAGTTTGCGAGTTAAGTCTTCTAGGTCTCTCCTAAGATGCACTATAGCCACATCAATCCTGAAGCTAGTGGCAACATAAAATGACCACGAAAAAAGTGTCTTAGCTCTATTAACCAATAATATTTTAGATAGCATTAAGTGAACATTTGAATGGGATTTGTTTACGAAATAGCCCAGAATACTTCTGATGTTATATAGGATTCTTCAAAAAATATAAATAAATTTCAATTTTTAGATAAATTCACAAGTTAAATTTAAAATTTTTCCAAAATTACTATAGTTTTTCCTGTCATGAAAGAGAAGGCTTTTCCAAACAGAAATTAAAATTACAAAAATCAATTCATGTAGAAATAAACTATAAATATAAAATTGCAAGCACAGAAAATTAAACCAAGAAAACCTGTGTATGCACTCTCTTCTTTCTAACTAGAGCAAGACCCGATTGATTTATATATTGTGAATCTGATCCACTAATGGCATCCTTTCTCTGGACACCATGCCCATGAGGGCTGATTTGGGACTTTCCATCATTTTTCTTAGCATGGCTCCCTGAAGATAACCCTCCTCGAAGATTTAGAGGACTAGATAGAAGCCCACTGCTGTTCTTGTCCATTGATGAATGCCATGATTTTCTTCCACCAGAATCATCAAGCATCCGCAATTTTACAGAGTACCTATCACGTGCACGATACAAGTCCATTCTATGTTTCTCTACAGCACTAATGTCTTCTTTTATGAACTGGAGATCAGTTTGCACCTACAAATAAAAGTATGAAACACCAATTGGTTGCAATAAGTAGAAAAATTATGCAATAAGGAAATAAGTACTAAAATCTAAAATAAAGATCAACTAATGCAAACAGAAGAAAGAAAAACAAGGAAACATTAGCTACTAATCAATAATTTAAGGGAGAGAAAAAGAGAGATTGCAGCTAGCATACCTCCTTCAACTCGTCAACTTTTTGCTTGCGTAAGCAATGCAAGAAGTCTAACAATATTTGCATGTTTCGCTCAGCTTCTTCTTGTTCCATTTTTCTTTTCTTCTCCGCAAGAAGTGACAAAAGCGTGTCTAGCTCCTTAATTGTCACCTCACAACCCTGGTCCAAGATTGAAAACCATAAGAAAAGAAAAAGGAATCACAGACTAAATAAGGCAGCAACCAGACCCACAAATTCAAGTGAGACTGAAATATGTAACAATAAAGTGATATTCAGCATAGTAAGTTGTATGAATCCCACAAGAACTAATATACAAGTCAATGCACGAACTAATTACAGCGCTTTCATAAAATATATTAGACAATAAAATGACAATAGTTAAAAACTAATATTTTGGTCCTTGATCTCGTGGCATATACAATAAATATGCAAGAACCATAATATAACATAATGAATGTTAAAAAACCAGCTCCAATTGTCCTCCAATACTCTTCCATCTGTTACTATGTTATTTGACGCTCAAAAAAAGAAATTTATAAACACGCTGTAAACTTTCTCGCAGAATTATATTCATGACGTAATAGAACATAAAAAGCAAGATAAACAACCTATAATTGCAACAAAGACCTCTAACTGTAGCACAATTAGCAAGGTTAGCAATGGATAAATGATAGTCAAGAAAAAGAGCGAGAGCACAACCAACCTTTTGCAATGCCTGCCGGAAATGTTCCATAGGGGAAGCGGTTTTTGATATTTGACGCACTGAAGTCTTCTTTAGTAGCTACAAATGTGGTACAGAAACCGTATAACAATAAGCTGCATTTCGAAGTAGATCGATTCAAGATGAAAATCATGCTCCAATCACACACACGAAAAACTACGACGTTTAAGTCAGCAACATTGCGAGCAGCAACTAGGAATGCAAAAAGAAAGACCTAGAGACTCTAAACAGCATTCGCTAGTCGCATTCCACGAAAACTAAACTCAACAACGCAGAGATTGTTCTCTTAAACGCAATTTCAAAAAAATCGCAAGCGAAAACTAAATTCAAGTATTGCTAACTAGGTATAGCAAGGTGAGAACGAACCTTATCGAGCAATATGTTAGGGAACAAGTTGCTGGTGGTGAGGTAATGGCTGCAGCAAGGGCAATCGCTCTTGTTCCGGAGGTGAGTGGTGATGCACATGTAGCAGAAGCTGTGGCCGCAAGCTGTGAGAAACGCGTCCTTGATGATCTGCATGCAAATCGGACAGAGGAAGTCCTTATCCGGCTCGGACATGGCGGCCGGAAACGTGTCGGCAGAAGTAGTGGCGGCGGTGTCAGTGCCTCCAGCCGTGGTTTTGGAAGGTTCGGGTTTAACGGCGGGGACGAGAGGCCCCGCTGAGAGCTCTTCCATGAGGTTGGTTCGTTTCGGTGTTTTTCTTTCGTTTGGCGTTTGGGATTTGGGAGAGAGAGAGTGTGGGTGTGGTGGCTTCGTTTTGCGATTTGAGGGAGAGAGGGAGAGAGTGGGGCCCACAACTGTAGCGTTGTGAGGGTGAGAGAAGTCCACGTGATGGATACGCTCGCAGCATGATGCTACAAGCCACGTCACACAACGCCAACCTCTTGTGTTAATGTAAAATTATTTATTTTTTAAACAATTGAATATACATATATAACTATTGATTGAAAATACTGATATATAGAGGTTTATGCACGCATATTTATGCTTGTTTATTTTTTATTACGAATAAATTATTTTTTTAATTATTAGCATGAATAGATTATATAATTTTTATTTCTTAAGCATTCTTGAATTATAAATAGGCTTAACCTACCTTTTATTTTCATATTTTAATATATGTGAAATTTTGATCATTGAATTTAAAATTTTTTTTCAAATTAAAACTTCAGATAAAAAATTTATACTATAATAATAATAATTATTATTATTATTATATTAAAAGCATATCATATTATTCATGTATATAACTTAATGCATGGAAAGAATTAAAATTCCCAACTATATACACACGTTTTTTTTTAATAAAAAAGGCAAAAAGTTCAACAAAGGAAACTTAATTTTTATCAAAAGAACTTACGTTAATATCATTATGTAAAGCATCTAGGATAAAAAGAAAAAACTCTCAAAAAATATGCAAACTCTCTATCCTACTTAAACTATGTTTAGCAAGAGCATATTTTTCATTCTTTAAAATATGATTGAACTTTAGTTTTCCTATAATTAAGCAAAGACAATAGTCATGGTTATTTATTGATAAGACTTATAAATCAGTGGCTTTCTTGCGATCAGCCTCAATAGCCACTTGTTTATAATCTAAACTATCTCATCTTATATTATGTTTCTCTAGACAAACATTTAAAAAGTAGAAAAAAATTTAGATGTGTATTTAGTGAAAAAGAAGATAAATATAATAAAATAGTTTTATTTTTTAAAATTATTTATATGTTTATGTTATTTTTAGATAAATTTTATTATGAGATATTTAATTTAAATAATTAAAAAGTCATAAAAACGAGAATGACACATAAAATAAAATTAAGAGACTATAAAAACAACTAAATAATATAAATACGAGTTATATTATAATTTATTTTGATATAAAAAAATTATTTAAAAAATTATGTTCTGGTAATTCTTGATAACATTCACAAAATGATATATATATTTTTTAAATTATATGTCAATCTTAGACTTTATTTTTATTTTTTCAAATTTATAAAATAGAGGGCACTATTTCTAAGATATTTAAAATTAGCTTCCAATAATAATACAAAGAAAGAGAAAATATTATAAGCTTATTCATAATTCTTCACCGTCATTAAAAACATTGTTTATATACAGTAAAACATATTTATCTTTGTTTATTTCTAAAAATAGATATTGTACCCCATTTGGTTTTTTTTTTTTAAATGGGACATAATTTTTAGAATGAAAGTATAATTTAAGTATTTTTAAAGTGAAATTAAAGTAATTTATTTTGTATAAGCATTTTTTGTGAGAAAAAAATAATATAAGACTTTATTAATATTACATGAAAACATTTTCTTAATAAAAGTAAAAATTGTGATTTATGACTTTATACGTTAACCCCTGCAACTAAATTCCATTCCGTCTGTGTAATCTACCTTTTCAAAATTAATACATAAAGGGTGACAAGGAAATGTCATACTCGCCTTAAAATAAATATCTTTCTATCATTTCGGAGTGGGTAGGATGATATGATATTTTGGGGTGGTTTGTTTGAGTCATTAATAAGCCTAATCCAAAGGGCATACCATCGTCCTTGATTCGTGATACTAACAAAAATGGCGCATTTTCTAGTAATTCTTTTTACATTCTGCGATTATATGAATTTAGACTAAAAAATTTAAACCTTAAATTTGATATTTTATCAAATAAATTCAAACTAATCAAGTTAAATAAACTCTATTGACTCTATTTATAATTTATATATAAAAGTAACTTTATTAATAATATATATATATATATATATATATTACTATTTGGTAATATTTGACAATTTTTATTTATATTATTAATATTTTTAAATATAATAAAAATTTGTTTGTGTTATCAACAGTGAAAACTTTGATTTATTAAATAAAAAAATATAAACAAAAGTCTTTCTTAAAATTAAAAGTGAATAAAAATTTTATAAACATTAAAATCATGTACTTTCATTAAATATAAATATTAAAATTATATAAAATTTATAAATATTTTTAGAAAACACTAGTTTATTTAAATTTAACACTTTAATATTTCATATTAATTTTTTTCAAAAAAAATTTATTGTTTACGGTGATTTTATCTACTTTGAATCAAAGTAGTTGAAACTAAAAATAATAATTTCATTTTATAACCCTTTATTAAATTAAAATATTTAAAATTAGAAAACAAATTTTTTAATTATATTATTTTGTTATATATTATTTAATACAGTAAATATTAGATGAATAAAATTAGTATTTAGTAAATATTATATTAATTGTATAAGTAATTAAGTTTCTTTTAACATAGTTTTAATATACTACAGTAATAATTATATAATAATTAATCAATATGAATTTTATGTACACTCTTTTTAAATATTTATCATATTTATATATCTACATTTGAACTTAACTGATTAAGATAATACAATCCTATTAGTTAATTCATGCGAATAATAAATATGTATTAATTTCTTAAAAATAAGATAATTTTAAAAAAAAAATCACATCTATTGGTTGCACCACGTACGATTTTAGAAAAAAAAGTATTTTTATTTTTGAGAAATTAATATAAATATCTAATATTAAATGTACATAAAAATTTAATCTTATTTGTTATTTCTAAAATAAAATAAAGTAAATGCCTGCCATTAAATTATGCAAAATAGATTTTTATTCTTAAAATAAAGAATCAGAATTGTTATAGAAAGATGAATTTAAAATAATAGAATAATTTTTTAGAAATCACATTATATTAATTTTTTCTAAATTTGGTTGTATAAATACTATTTGTTTTTACAATCAACAAATATAATTAATATTTTGTTATTATTAGAAGAATTAAAGAAATATTCATAGATAAATATTTTTATAGGAATTAATATAATTAACATTAATATATTAAAATATTCTTAAAATAAAGATTCAAATTATATATATATATTATGGTGTATTAAAAGTATGCAAAAGAAAATTTGATTGTCACGTAAGTTTTGTATTGATTGAATAGACAATTTATTTTTTCTACAAATTTTATCTCTCTATTTTTTTAAAATATATTATAGTAAAGTAATATTATTAACCTATATATATATATATCCTGAATAGTATAACAAATTTTTGTTAAAGAAAGTTAAATTTCTCGCATAATCAGTATGATATTTACTTAATATTAAATTTATCCAATTAATTTATGTTTTATAAAATAATATATAACTGAAATAATATAAAAACTATTTTAAATTATAAAATATTTCTGTAATATTTAATTTTTCAATACTTATTTTTATAACAAAGTAGAGAGCAAAAGTAATGTGAGACATTAAAGTGTTATTATTATTCTTAGCTATGCATTTATTATATGCATTTACATATATATATATATATATATATATATATATATATATAGGTAAAAAATATTATACTGATTATATAATTAGGTTCATAATATTTAATAATAAGTTTTTCTTTTAATTATTGACGGATTATGATTTATTTTACTGTTGAGGATTATGCGTTGTGATTAAATTACTCTAGATTAACCTGATGTAACTGATAATTATTATCATTTTACGTTCAAGCATCTAGATTATTTATTTATCTTAATTTTAATTTAATAATATTTAGTTATAATTCATCAATGAATCACATAATTTTGTGGTTGATCATAGAAATTATCGAATTAAATTGTTTATTTCATTCATTAATTGACGTAGAATTGTCCTATTTGTCTATACTTCACCAACTTCAACCAACTCAATAATGTGCAATGAGACAATTTTATAACCAACAAATACTCATACCAGTTAATGCAATCACATCTCAGCACTTTACTACTTTAGTACAACATGCTACTTTTGTGTAACATGATAATGAGAGTCATTTTACTCTCATTTAATATCATCAACCAAACCTCGATCACTATCAACATATTTACTCTTTAGATTATCTCAAACTTTATTTATTAAAAACAAATGAAAAAAAAAATTAAATGCTTCGTAGAAACTCTAAAACGTATCTTATAAAAAGGATTATAGCGAGTATAATAAATCAAAAAAGTTAATTAATTAGAGAAAAATTAAAATTAGAATTAATTATAAAAACTATTATATTAATTCATTTTCTTAAATTGTGTAAAATACTTTAAGAAACAAATAAAAAAGAAAGTATGAAGTATTTTTCAGTGGAGCGTAATCCTAACGAAGCAAAGGCAAAAAGGCAATATTCATATAATTTTGCCGAAACTTGAAACATTATTTAATGGCAAAAGTGAAATGTTTTTAGAAGAAAATATAACTAATAAACCTTATCTTGTGATTTCTAACGTAGTTGACCTTTTTTTTTTGGGAAAACTTTTCATTTTTGTTTTTATAATTAATGCTATTAATTAAAATACTCATGACAACACCCTCATTAATTTCTTTGGCCAGGGTGATACTGCCCATAATGTAACTCAATATTGCCGCATTAAATTTCCATATTACCTTAAGGAGTGTGGATAAGGAAAGACCCTGCCAACTTTTTTCTATCCAAAATAGATTAAACCACGAAGTTCACTGCTCACCCTCTTTATCATATCATATTCATAACAAAAGTAAATAAATTTAAATCATATAAAAAAATTATGATCTCTCCATATAAAAACTTGCACTGGATTATGATAGATATGATATTATGATGCATTGTGACTCAAATTAAAGAAATACACGTGTGGCTAGTGCAAACACGTGTTTCACTGGCTTGCATGAAAGCTAAGGCAATGTTCTTCTGTTTATAAATTACCTGATTCCCTTGTGATGGATCATATTTGATGATTGGAAGAGAGCTAGCTGCAACCATGAAATGCCTCTCTGTAATCTCTTTTTATTTCCTTCTCTGCTTTTATGTAATTCAAAGGTATGTCAGCATCATCTTGTCTTGCCTTGGTTTCGATATCATTCATTTGATTGAGTTTTAGTTACATGTTTTCTTGAAGACACAGTAAACCAAAAAGTGCATAAATCATTTGTAGTTTTCCTCTGTCTTCTAAAGATGGGTTGGTTGTAGCCTTCAGCAAAGATTTATCGAAAAGAATAAGCTTTATTTAACTGATTTTTTTTTTATACTAGTTATTCTTTTACGCGCTCTTCTTAACTATGTATTTAAAAACATGTTAAAAATTACGTAAACATAAATGAAACTCAAAATTTATAATTAATAATTTTAAAATAAACATTGAATTCAAACACGTTATAATTATTTTATCTTACCTAAAGATAGGAAAGGAAAGTTGGGCTTCTATCTGAGAAAATATTTTTATTAATAATTATCAAGATATTTTCTTTTTTATTTTAAAAAATTTAAATTTGTACAAAAAATGATAAAAAAAACATTTTCTCAAACTAAGCAAATATTTCTCTCGTTAGCTTCTTTTTTTCTTCATTTATTGTCTGTTTGGCAGTATCTTTTTATTACAATTAAAACTTCTATCTTCAATTTCATCATTATATAAAAGAAGTTTTGAATTTATATCATAATTATGTTACATAAAATATTTTCAATTTAATCTTCGTCGTGTATTGTTGTTGTAACACAATTTATTATGGCTATAACACAATACGGTGTACCAATGATGAAATGAGTGCCATCTCACATGGTATAATAACAACAAATGATGGGATGAAATTGAAGATATTTATACACAGACTTAAAAACTATTTTCGACCTCACTTTGTACACTACCATCCTATTCTGTTGTTTAGTCATTACTCATTAATTATCATGCACAGATACGGGTACGAGTAGAAGGTACAATACCATACAATGTCTAAATATGGTAAAATCTAAAATATTAGGATACGGGTTCAATAACATATATTAAGTAAAATATACCTATATTTATTAATGTCATAATAAATATTTTATGATAATATAGAACAAATCTTAATCAAATAAAAAATTTACAAATAAAAAAATTCTAAAAAATAAAAACATATTCTATAAAAATCTATAAAATATTACAAATATCACACTAATAGTTAAATAATACAATTATCATAAATAATTGTTCCTAACTCAATTTGTCTTTTGTTAAATTAAAAAATAAAATTAAAATGTTTACTTAAAATATATAAATAAAATAAAAAAGAAATTGATTAAATTATTTTTTATTAATAATGTTTTTGAGTCGCCTTAAAATACCTTTTCGCAAAAGTCAAAACCTACAGGTAAGTGCGGTATGTAAGTGCGTCAAACGCATATCGGTATTGGATATGAATAGTGATGATTTTTCAAGTATAGGCACATCATAGCTCATTAATCACGTTTGAAATCAGACAAATACATAAAATATTGACCTACGACAACGCTAAATCTTAGCCTTTGTTGAAGCACAGAGGTTGACTTCGGAAAATCCTTTTTAAAAATTTACAAGTATATATGCAAGCAAATGATTAATTTTTGACTTGATGATTGTTGATGTTATATAGGGTGTCATCTGAAAATGCTCTCACCCCTCCAAGAGGTTGGAACTCCTATGATAGCTTCAGCTGGATAATTTCTGAAGAAGAATACTTAGAGAATGCAAATATAATTTCTCAGCGGTTACTTGTTCATGGATATGAGGTATTGTACTGCAGGCACAACTACTTTTGAATATGTAGTAAATGTATGGATATAAAATATTTCCTTTCAAACCATGCAGTATGCTGTTGTGGATTACCTCTGGTATAGGAGTCTCAAGGGTACAAATAATTCTTTTGGTTTTGATATGATTGATGAATGGGGGAGGATGCTCCCTGATCCTGAAAGGTGGCCTTCTTCAAGAGGAGGGAAAGGGTTCATTGAAGTAGCTAATAAAGTGCATAGCATGGGTTTAAAGTTTGGGATTCATCTTATGGCTGGAATCAGTACACAAGCATTCAATAACAACACACCAATACTAGATACAACAACGGTACTGCTCCTTACTCCTACAACAGAGTTTAGTAAAATCTTGTCATATTCAAAATTGGCATTTAATTATAAGGTAGCTGAATTTAAATTTGATCCTCTATAAACACAAAATTAACATAACAAGCATGTTTGTTGTACATTGCAAGGGTGTTTTCTAATTGAAGTAAAAAAAAAACTATAAATAGTTTGGATTTTTTTTTTTTAAAAAGGAGGAAATTTTCAAGATATATTTAAAAGATTAATTTCAAAATGTTAGTTAAAATTTGACAAAGAAAATTAAATTTTAATATAATAGAAAAATATTAAAGCAATTAAAACTAATACAAAAAATAAATCTTAACATAAAAAGAGAATTAAAAAGTAATTAATAATTTAAAACATTTAAAAATATAAGGGTCAAATAATGATAAAATTATATATCACCAAAAGAAAGAAAATGTAATAAGAGACATCATCACATTAAAGATTGAAGACTATTATAGAATAAAAGTTTATTATATATAAATAAGAAGCAATGAAATGCATATATTTCTGAGGAAATAAAGTCTAAATTTTCCTTGCATTACTTATGCGATATTGATGTAGTAGGTACCCATCAAATTTTATTGAACTTATTTTTCTCTCTTGCATCTTGCTAGGGACAAGCATACATGGAATCTGGTCGAGTGTGGCACGCAAAAGATATAGGCATCCAATCAAGGGCTTGTAAATGGATGACTGATGGTTTCATGGGTATAAATGCAACAACAGGAGCTGGAAAAGCCTTTTTAAGATCGATTTATGAGCTATATGCTTCATGGGGAATTGATTTTGGTACTTAAACTACTAAAATAAAAATATATTCTATCTCTATGACAAAATATGCAATACATATCATGTCCTAGATTACACATAAGACATCAATCATGATGTTTCTCAAAAAACAGTTATACACGTATTTTCCTTGCAATTTTGATTTATATGGATTTTTTGCTTAAATTTCTTGCAGTAAAACTTGACTGTGTGTTTGGTGATGACTTGGATTTGAATGAAATAATATCTGTATCAAAGGTAATATGCAATTTCTTAACCCTTTTTGTCCTCTTAATTTTAAAGCCAAGACATGGAAATTTTTGTTAATTGAGATGCCATCTACACAGATTCTCAATGACTTTAATCACTCCATTGTATTCTCTCTATCTCCTGGGGTCAGTGCAACGCCACAAATGGCTGAGGCAGTGAGTTCACTAGTTAACATGTACCGTGTAACAGGAGATGATTGGGATGAATGGTCAGCAGTTTTGGCTCATTTTAATGTATCAAGGTGATTAATTAAATTATTATGATGTTTGCATTGAGTTCTAAATATGTGGATTGTTATTCCATCTCTGCTCTACTACTCTACCATTGTCTATATATTTGATTCACTTAATTTATCTTTTAGAGACTTTGCTGATTCTAACTTGATCGGAGTAGAAGGTTTAAAGGGAAAATGCTGGCCTGATTTGGACATGCTACCATTTGGATGGCTAACTGACGCAGGTTATAAGGCTAAATGCCCTTGAATTATGAATTACTACTTTTCTTTAATTTATTGAGATCAACTAGTTAAGGCATTCCAAACAGTAAATATCCCAAGGCATAGTAGTTTTCGATGAAAATATTGTATTTTACTACCAAGTACGTACCAATGGGATCGGTTCTGTTTGTAAGGTTCAAAACACTTTGTTGCTTCTAATGTTCAGATTTATGTTTGATTTATATTGCCCTAGCCTTGGAATGGAGCAGCCTCCATTTCCCCTATTTTTCTCACCAAAAAAAGGAAAAAGGTTTTCTGCTTTTCTGAATCATTAGAAAAATGAAATTTGGTTTTCAGTTTCATCCCATGTCACAGTCACACATAAATGTAATGAACTGTTTGAATTAGAGATGTTTAAGAAAATAGATGATAAAACTACCTTATAAGTTTTTTAATTCCCTCTTTTTCTCAATAGCTGTCAATGAAGGACCACACAGGTTTTCTAATCTTAATCAAGATGAGCAAAGAACTCAGGTATATATGCACAAGCGCACAACACAACTAGATTATATTATTAAAGAGACGACATGCATGTAAATTAATAGAATCTAAGTGAACATATTCTTATTTCACAGATGACTTTGTGGTGTATGGCAAAGTCTCCTATTATGTATGGAGGGGATCTACGGAAGATTGATGCATGGACCTATGATCTTATCACAAATCCTGCCTTGTTGGAGATCAACGCTTTTAGCTCAAATAATTTTGAGGCATGTGAAACTTCTCTTCTGATATTTTATTTTGTTAATCATATGTTTATTTAAACCTCGCCTATGGATCCATAGTTGGTCTTAAACTTAAAGTAAAGAAAATAGTTGTGTTAAACTTTTGGTAGGTAACGTAAAATTTGTTGAAACATTTACATTGTCACAACAATATTTTTTAAAATTAAACTTTTTATCAAGTTAAATAAAATTGTGAGTATTGACCTCACCTAATGGGATAAAACTGCATTATTAATATTGTTGTAATCATATGTTTATTAAAATTTAGATTGATATTATTATTTTTCTTTTTAATAGTTTCCTTATATCGCAATATCAAACGGTGCTGAGATTGAAGGGCAAAATTTCACAAAAGTACCGTTTACTCGTTTCCTAGTCACTGGATGCACTGATCCAAAAGCAAGTGGGTGGTATAGTGAAAAATATAACCAAGGTCTTGAAAGAATCTGTTATAAGAAGGATACACAAAAGGATCAAGAGGAACCCTTCTGCTTGCACAAGAGAGAACTTACAAGGGCATCATCGTAATCACGCTTTACCTTTCTTCAATCTATTTGTCTTAATTTGTTCTAGTTATTTGTACTAAATTATTATATTGCTGCTGATGCAGAAATGAAAAAAGTATGTATAGAGGGAAATTACATTTAGCGGATATCAACAATAATGAATTTTGCTTGGATGCTTACCCGAAAAGAACGCTTACTAATAAAGGGGTAAAAAAAGAGAGTTCATTTTCTCCATGCAGATTCAAAGCAAGTCAGGTATACAGATAAGCTTTGTCTGTAACTTTACAAAAAGTACTTTGTTTCATTTTTTGAAGTTTCGAAATTTCTACACGAAAATATAGTATATATTAATCTCTTAATAAAACTACAATTTTTTAGGTTGTACAATTATAATGCATGTACAGTATATGCCAATGTATGTGTATCAAAAGTTGAGATTTATCCAATCTTTTCAGATATGGGAGTTAAAATCTAAGACGCTGGTTAATGGTAATTCCGGCACATGTGCAGCAGTGGAATTTGCCCAAGGTAAACATTAGTAAGAAATACTTATCTCTATGATGAATGATTAATGGTATCTTCAAGCTATATATCTCATTGATTTTTGTTTTACTCTAATAATGCAACTTGACCAATCATACAGTTGAAGCTTTTCCTAATGGGATTCGATCGTGGATTGCATCCGGAAGAAAAGGTACGACACTAGTCCTCCAGTTCAAAGCATGTTTAATTTCATGTTAAAAAATATAGAAATTTACATTTGCTTTAACACAATTAATTATAATTTTATGTTATATTTATATTTATAATTTTTTAACATATTTTCAAACGCATTTTAACTTCATGTAGTCGAATTTTCTAATTTAATATTATTTTCTAGTATCAAATTGAGATGCACTAAAATAATTGACATGGTAAATGATTTCTTAAAGCACTTTATCCTCTAAATGTAGTTGTTGATTTGCTTGCATTCAGGGGAGATCTATGTTGCTTATTTCAATCTAAATGATGAGAACACGGCAATATCTTCAAACATAGTAGACTTGGGTAATGTGCTGCCAGGTAAAAGAACTTTGAAAGGTTGCTCGGGAACCGAAATGTGGAGTGGAAAAACCATACAAACAAATCAGTCGTTATCTGCACAAGTGCCGAGGCATGGTTCTGCATTATTTGTCCTCAATTGCACTTTAATTTGATCTACAATCTTTTTCTAATGTTTATTTATGTAACATTAGGTAATAGTGTTTTTATAAATGGTGTTTTTAAGTAAATTAAAAAACTTAATTTTAATACATTATTAGTATAATAATTTTACACTACGATGATTCGTATATTGCACGTAGCCACGTAACCTTGTGCTGAGTGTTTTTCTTCTTACGGGCAAATTCAGCTCCTTAATGTTAGAGTTTCGTACCTTTTTTTGTTAGTGCAATGTATGGGTTTACGTAAGCCCATAGACTATTGAGAGTAGCCAATCTGGACCCTATTCATGGGCTCATTTTCAAGATCCTTGGACCCTAGTCTAAACAAGTTTGTCCATGTTGACAAAACAAAAAGCTAAGTTTGTCCATTTATTCATACCCATTCCGTGCCTTCTCTCTCTTTTTTTTAATCTCATTTTGTGAACCTTTCTCTTTTCTTTCGCTTTTACCATATAAGAAAAGGACTTCTATATAAAAACACTTTATATGCATTTAAAATTATATTAAATATAATTTATATCTGTAACAAACATACGCTGTTGTCTTTCTTAGATTATTTTGTATGTTCAGCTTATGAAGAGAAAGTGGCATAGATACATTTCAAATCAAACATTAAGATTAGACGATGACATCACGTTTGAGACCTCAGACGTAGTTAGACATTTAATACAACCACGGTTGTAAGTTTTGATGCCTATTTTTTCGAGAAAAACTAATTATATGTGTATTTTTATTTATTTTATAATTCAATATTATTTATACAGAGAGAGTGTTAAACTTGAATACTTAAATTAATTAATAATATTTTATAAAATATAAAATTAATCAATGTAACATTAATTTGAAAGTTTTTATTAAATAGATAAGCGTTATAAAATTTCATACAAAAATAAAATGAATACACATTATATAATTTACTTTATTTTAATGAATAATGTATTTTTAAAATATAAATAAATATTAAATTTTGAATAATATACTTATAAGAAATTAAATTATATAAAATTTGATGTACATAATTATAAAGTTAGTATAAGATGATTTAAAAGTTAAATTTATCAATCTCACATTTTATAAAACATTATTAAATTGTGTAAATGTTCAAGTTTAACATTTAGTGTCAACAAATTCTGATATAATTTTTTAGGTTAAATTGATCTTAATAACTTTAATCATTAAATATCAAATTTGAACATTAAATTTTACTTCTAAATTTTTCTCTTGACATAAATAAGTTAGCAAAATATGATTACAACAAATTATAGTTTTTGACTGAGCTAGCACTTGTAAAATAAATCTGTAAAATTAATTTTGATTAAAAGTGAATTTAAAATAAATTGATGTGTTTAATTTTGTTTTCTCTAAAGAGATGTTAATAAAAAAATTAACTTCAACTTTTATTAGCTGATTTAAAGTAATTAAAAATAGTAACATTTTATTAAGAATTATTTATTACATTAAAAAAGAAGAGTGTAATAAATATTTTATTTCTTAATAAAAAATAGTATTTTTATTAAATGTTTAATAAAAAAAAAAGACTACTATCAAATTAATGTTGTTGGAAGAGAATGAGTGTAGGAGCAACCAATTCTTACTTCTAAGCAAACTTGCGTTTAAATCTTGAATTGAATCACAAAAAAATTGCCAAATAAGATCAAATTTCTTAAGGCCACGTTTGTATTGGACAAACCTATTTCAATACACATTGTTAAGGGTTGGCCATAATTCCGTTGAGATGGTTCATAAATGAGTGCTACCACTTTTCCAAGAACATTGAATGTTTTTCTCTTCCAGAAAGATTGGGCGTGCCCAAGTTGTTGGTTTTGCTTAGCCTTTGGATGTCAACTTTCAGTATATATGTTGTTGGTGCTGTAGGCCAAAGTTTGACCATCAGGGACGCCGCCGGGGACTATATAAATTCCATGACCCCACTGTAGTAACTGTTGTGGCCATCAAAGTCAATGATTTTGACTCATCATGCAGCTAGTCTTATCCAAGCTGGTATGGTTATAGGTTTGTCATTCAAAGTTTCTTCCATACAAGCTACCCTTTTGTCATGGTAAGCATGTTGGCAATGAAATGTTAATGCACAAAAGGAGAATGGGGTCAATTTTGAGTGACGATTGTTCCAAGTGTAATCTTCTTGGCATTGCTTGTTTCCTCCTTTCTAGTATACGGAACACAAGCTGATCTTTCCATGTGGGTTAAATTGATGGGTCTTGTATGAGAAATAAAAAATTATATTTTCTAAAGCATATAGTAATTAGGTTTGATTATTAATTAAGTTAAACATTAATTATAATAATATTGTATGTCGAGTCTTGTATTGCAACGTTGATGTTTTTGTTTTCTAAAGTGAGCAAAGCCAAGAGAGTCGAGTGGATGGACTAGGGAATTTCCTCGAGCATGGAATATATACTTTTCATTGACTATTTGATTTTATCTACCTTTCCTTGATAGCTTCAAAATTCTTGAGTGCAGACTCCCAATTTTATTCCGTGTTTGACCTCATTAACATGTTGTCTAATGGGAGTGAATTAAGTTTCTTTACATAGCTTCTTTCTGGATTCCAATCTCGAAAATTATGAGGATTGCGTGTATTCGGCTTGGGTTTTTTCAAGCATATGTTTCTAACTACTACATTCACGTATTTTGTTGCTAAAAAACACAAGAAAGGGAGAACTGCTTATAGGATAGTGGTGGTAAGAAAGGTGTTTATGTGGAAAACCAAATACAAATGCAAGGCAGCATGAGCATTTACTATGCATGTCAGCGACCCACAATTGATTAAGTGCTCCCCCTTTGATTTGGGTCGGTAGATAGTGTAAACTTCTAAGTAATAACTTCGAAAACTACCTTTTGCTTTTACATCATCTTCCTGCAGCTAATAAATTTGTTATTCATAAAAGTAAACAAAGAGCAAGAGAGCCGTGTCAAGCAAGGCTTGGCAAAAAAGACACCAATAGGTAATTTTATGTCAATTTTTTTTTTTACAGCTGAAACATTTTAGAATATTTTATATATTAGCACCTTTTTAAAACAATAAAAAGTTATTATTATCATATAAATTAGTGCCAAAAATAATATATATACTTATGAATGTGACATATAACTTCCTTCTTGAAAACGCTGCTAATTTTCTTGACCTTAATGTTTCAATAATTTGCATCAACAGGTTCATGGACCTATTGCGAACCACTTCTTTAAAACAAATAAATAAAAAGAACTAACTCTTCTTCTCTGTTGGTCCACAAAGAAAACTAACTATCTTGTTCATCATGTTTGTCGTATATGGCTCTCACCATCTGCTTCTATTTTAGGACAATTAATTAACAAGGGATTGAAGTTATAAAAGTTAATAATTAAACATTTAAATTACATGTATATTTTTAAAAAGATAAATTCTTTCAGCCTTTTCTTATTACGAAACTTATATTTTTTTATTAAAAAAAACTAAATTCCCTATTTAAATTATTAGGTATTAATGGTATGATATTTCTTTTGCCTGTTGAGGTATATTAAACTAATATATTTTTAGTTTGTTAACTAATTATCTTGTAAGTAACGAATTACTTATTTAAATTTGTTTTAAAAACAAAATATTACATAGATAATTAAAAAAAAGTAAATTACATGTCTTTGTTTTAATAGATATGTAAGTTTTATTTATTTTTTATTTAAACAATAAATACCTTTTACAAGAGATAACCTACAAAAAAATTATGTACCGCATAACCCAATCCCTATTAATTTAATAGATATGTTAGTTGTACAAAATTCTCTTTTATTGTATAAAAATCTCTTTCATTAACAGGTTAGCAATTTAGCATGACAAGTTACGGTTTAATTTATTTTCATGCAAAAGAAATTTATACATACTTTGTTTGTTAATGAGTTTGAATTATTTTAAAATAAAATAATTTAAAACCTGAGTTTTTTTTTATTTGTATGTCATGGTTTTAAAATTTATAATAAGAATGTTTGAACAATTTGTTTTATCTTAAATTTTAAAATTAATAATATCATATTCAAAATTAACTATCAATATAATATGAAAGTTTTTTTTTTATATGGGAAGATATTTTTTCTGAAATATTTATTTATATTTTTTTAATAATCATTGTTATTATTTACTTTAAATATCACACTTACCTTTTTAAAAAAGGAGTATTTTTAAATTATAAATTTAGTATACTTTTTTTTCCCCTAAAAACAGAGGCATTTAATTTAATTTAAGAAAACAATAGATGTGATACAAGTTTTTTTTATATTAAACAATACTTCGTAAATCTTAAAATTTTGTTATTATCACTTGTAAGTTTATAATCTCATTTAATATATTTTAGAACCCTCGACATATAAGAAAATAAGTAATTTTCAATGTATTAAAAATACAAGTGAACAGAATAAACGAATATTCCTGTATAGTATTTCAATTTTTGCACGTGCTTCTGCCAAAGACCTTTTTCTTTGGTAGAAACCAAAGACTTCCTTTTAAAAATGCGAGATGCAAACCTTATCAGAGGAAGAAATGTTTGGTTTATATATAAATTAATAATGTTCCTAAGCATAGCGTGTTACAAAATGTGGAGCTATTTTTTTTTATTAATTGTACTTTATTAAAAAGTATTATATTATGAATAAATTACATTAAATAATAAAGATACACATGATTTCATAATTTTTTTTTATAAATTGATTAATAATAATGAATATATTTTAAAAAGTACGTTGAAGGGTTTATTATGAATATTTTTCATCTTTCTAACTACTCTTTCCCAAAAAGAGAGTCTCTGTGTGGCATTAGCTTTTAGAATGAATGTAAACTACACTTCCCTTAAAATAGGTTGAAAGTTTGGCTTGCTTGCTACAATGTCCAGATGGTGGACTTTGTCAGTGTTCTGATGAATTTGGCTACATCAGTCAAGAAATATAATTAATTTTTTATGAGGAGTTAAAATATAAAGATAAAAAAGGATTGTGAATGAAAAAAA